TAAAGGGAGCATTAACACTTTTACCTTTAAAAAAAATGTTTTAAAAAATTATTACTATATAAACTACAACTCACCGATTATATTTAAACTTTTTAATATTACCTTTGAAAGTTGATAAACATTTTTAAAATGCGATACTAATGATAAATGTATTTTATAATTTTTAAAAAAATTTAAAAAGTATTAATGAAACTTTTAAAAACTCGAAAATATTTTTAATTCTTTAGAAAGTTAAAAGGTATTTTTAAAATAAATTATTTTATCGTTTATTTTTTTGGCATGTTTAGTAAAAAAAATCCAAATGGTTTTGTTCTCGAGCCATTTTTAGGTCATTTTTCGCAGGGGTATCGATCAATGACTTCTTTTTTTTGTCATTTTTCAAACGAGTGTCATCGGGACGTTTAGATAAACTTCTTTTTCGTTTTAGTCTCTCGCTATATTCACTAAAGATTGTATCAAGACTGAAACGACGAGAAAAAAAAAAACCAATAATCATATATATAAGATCTTACAACTCAAACCTTAACACGAAAATTCTAATCGAGTTATTTAAAGCATTAAACTAAAACGATGAGTTAGAATGAATATGTTTCGACATTATTTAGTTCATTAAAATATAAAATAAACAAGAAGAATCATCCTTGAAAAGAGTGGAACTCCAAGGCATATTAGATGGCCACAAAAATGGATAAGGTAATATGCATTGGTTAGGTTATCCTTGTCAGCATACATTTGGAATGTTACAAATGGCCAATAAATTAAGTAACACGTTGGAGTAGCTTTTTAAGTGCTTTGAAAGTTATTTTAAGAGTGAAAGAAAAGTTCTCGAAAATTTAGAAGCTAGTGGGGAATGACCCTAATAACGTTAACGATTTGTTTTTATATCGTTATATACACTATATAAATCAAATCACGATGATCAAGTTTCACATTTATACACATAATTGTACGAGTGGCCAGCTAAGGATGTTGGTGGGTTAGATTGGATTGAGTTAGCATTTTTTTTGGTTCAGAATTGTTCGTATTGTTTATTCAAATTTTTATTTTTTAAATATCTATTTATTTAAGATTTATAATTCAATTTAAATATATATTTTAAAAAATTATCCTTAATTATAAAATTAAATAAAAATAAAATAAATATATGTATATACATTTATATAGTAACAAAATAAATAAATAAATAAATAAAACTAATAATAAATTCACGTTGGTTCGGTGAACCAACTTAACCCATAAATTTTTTATTTATTTGAATTCTGACAAACTTAAGTAAGTTCATAGTCCAACTCAAACTATACATATCGGGTTGTGTTGATCAGGTTTTTTTAGACGTTGGATTTTTTTTAACACCCTTATGACCCACTTTGATGTGTCAGCTTAGTTTTCTTCATCGGATCACTTACATAATGTTTAGCTTTCTAAAATATGGACGGTTCCTTTTCTCCCAAATCAATTAAAAAAAAAAATATGTCGTTGATCGAAATGCTATAAAATTGAATGGCTAGATTTGAATATTCGAAAGAATTAAATATATATATATATATTTGGTGACATATGGATCAAAATATAATAAGTTTAAAATATTGTATAGAGATGACATATAATAACATATTTATATATTATTTATTTGAATTGGAGGGTGACAAATTTAAAATAAAAATAAAAAATTCGAACTCATAAAATTAGGTCATTTTGATAAGAAAGTTAGTAGCACTCAATTTCTAATTTTAATGATGAAATTTTGAATATTGTTTAATAAGTTTTTAATGTGTAATAAAAAAATTTAAATTAAAATAATTGAGAGTGATTATTTATATCAATTCGGTACATCTTTGAATTCAGATTCAGCACATGATGGTCCCGGTATTTCTATGGACATGGTCAACTTACCTACTCTTCGTTTCTTAAGAGTGAAGACAATCTCCACAGACCAACACGAGTCTTTACAACATGATTTGTCCTCACTCACATGCATACTAGGAAATTTCCGAGAAATCACCCAAACATGAAATTGCTCAAAGTAAAGCTATGAAGTTTTTATGATTGAGCTACTAAACCTATCAACCCGCAACTCGAACCAAATTTTTAATTTCTAAAAAAATTCAGCCTAAACTGAATTTGGTAGTTTCTGAAACGTCCTCCCAAATGGAACGTAGCTAGCAAGAATAGAGTGACAACACATCTCTGATTGTTCTAACATCATTTACAAATGTTGAACATTCTTAATCATTTTAAAAGTTGAGTTGGGTTGGGTTGTAACCCGATGTTCAAGTTGGTCGAGTTTGTCAGGTCAACCCACAAACCGAATTGATTTTTTCAATTTTTCAAAAATTTAACCTAATAAAAAATATATATATAAATAAATAAATAATAATCCAACTCAACTTTAATGCGATAAATATGACACTGTTGTATAGTTTTTATACGTACATTCGTACATATGTATGTGTGTATATGTATCTATTATATATATATAATCAATTTTGTTTCTAATAATTTTTTAATAAAATTAATTCAACTATTGGTATAAATTTTAATTTATGTCTAATAAAATAAATTGAATTTAAGATAAATTTATAATTGTGAAATTTATGGATATTCATTAACTTAACGTTTAGCCCATGATATACATAGGCTTCCCCAATGTTTATTATGGGCCAAATTGCATTAAGGCCTTTTTCGAGGGGTAAATATTCAAATAGCTAAATTATTGAGGCAAAATTGGAAATTACATTTTTCATTTATGAATCATTTTATTTCAACCCATGGTTGATTAATTTGAAATTCAAATTCGATAATTGATAGTCTCGATAATCTCCTGCAATGTGACCATTATCCATATAAACCAATATGTGTTGTTCGTCCCCAAACCATATCCTACGATGAGAGGATTCACTTTTGTAGTGTTTGTGTAATGACTCATACCCAAGATTTGGAATTTAGATTTGACACTCGATGGTCACGATATTCCCTTCTGATATGGTCACGTTACTTACTCCTCGTTTCTAAGAGTGAAGATTATCCCACAGACCAACATGAATTCTGTAGTGTTTGTGTAATGACTCATACCCAAGATTTGGAATCTAGATTTGACACTCGATGGTCACGATATTCCCTTCTGATATGGTCACGTTACTTACTCCTCGTTTCTAAGAGTGAAGATTATCCCACAGACCAACATGAATTCTTCCAGTATGCTTTGTTTTCACTCATGTATATCAAGGAAATTTGTCCGTAGGTCACCCAACAAATAATTACTCCAAATAAAGCAGGCTTAGTTTTAAATTTCCAATCATTCAACACTCCCTTTTTGTAACAGTCTAAGTTCATCGCTAAAAAAATATTGTTCGTTGTATAGCTGTCAACCTCACGACTTTAAAACGTGTTTGTTAGAGAGAAGTTTTTATAAGGAATGTTTTGTTCCCCCCCAACCGATGTGGGATCTCATCAGCCCAAATCCACTGCTAACAAATATTATTCGCTTTGACTCGTTATGTATCGCCGTCAGCCTCACTTATATTCTTACAATCCATTTCATTCAAAAATAGTCTCAATTTATTCATTTATTCATTTATCACTTATCAGATAGTTACAATTTATAATCAATAAAAAACAATGACTTAAATTTTAGTATTTGAATTTATTTGTGGAATGAAGAAAACGAGATAGTTTAAAAGCAGGTTTTCGTATTATCGTTTATCCTATTTAGGAATTTACGTGCCAATTTTGACCATTTAAAGTCTTCCTATGAAATAATATATATCTAAACTAATTAAGTTGCGTTAATTTTAGATTGATTGAGAAAACTCAAATAATCGTATCCATTTAAATGTTAAACTTTCACCGGTAAATCTATGAGACTGAGTAAAAAAGAGATATATGAATGAATCGAGACCAATCATAAGAACTTGTTTGAAACAATTTTATGTTGGGAACCTCTTGAAATTTTTTCTAAAAAGCATGTGAGTGAAATATTAAAGTTCGAGACTAGGAGTTGGCTGGTAAGTAAGAAGACTTCTTAAGCCTATACTTTTGACACGATTTTTCTTAGAGCTCGAAACTTAAGAAGTCGATCTACTTTGACAAGCTCGAGCGTCTACAAGTCAACGAATAACCATGTAATTTATATTTATAAATGGGTCAAACTAAAAGTTTATTGTATGAAAAAGTCAAATGAGTCGAAAAGGGCACGTGAGTTATTGAAAAATTCTTCATTTATATCTTTGTTTGTGTGTTTGGTCAAATGAATTTGACATTTCCCTTTGTGGCGAAAATTATTAAATCTGATGACGTCCGACCAGCATAAGGCTTGTGTTTGGCTTGTGCCTCAAAAATTCAACCTTTCAAATGGTTCTCTAAATGACATTTTTGCCCCTCATCTCGACTGGCAAATTAAATCATAGTCTTAAGATCTCAGTTAGATGTCAAAATTATTCTATTCATAGAGTTATATGGTTGTCGAAAAATCAATAGTGTCAACTTTAAAATATGAATATTGAAATTAAAAGATTAGAAGTTTGAATCAAAATGTTAGAGATTCGAATCATTCCCCTTATATAAAAAAATAAAAAAAAGAACGATAAAAAATTAAGAAAAGGTTTGTTTTTTTCAAATAAATTTAACCCAAAAAAATTAAGAAAATTCATTTTACTCTTTTGAGTGTTAGAATTAATAGTTAAGATTAATTTAATTTAACTTATGAAATTAATCTAATTTATCATAATATTTGTGTCAAGAATTGCAAATTTTTTTGCGAAATTTGAATTTGAATTTCCCTGGGGATTTTTTTTTTTTTTTTTTTTTTTTTTTTAAAAAAA